GAAGGTTCGACCCCGCCCTCTCGACTTCCCTTGTTAGGCTTGGGCACCCTGTCAATATCCCATTCCTTCAGGTAACATGGCGGCTCGGCACCGAAAAGGTGTTACAGCTGAATGATTTTTTTAAAATATTTTTTTAATTGATTATATGGCAGGACTAACTTTTCAAGTTGTTACTACAACAGACAAAATTATCTCCAACACGAAAGAGGATCGATCCGGGGCGACGATATATTAGACAAAAGTAACTGTAAAACCGTTTTAAGCGAAGGTCAAATGCTCCCAAGATCTTAGAGACTAATCCAGGATAACTGGGTAAGCCATGTCGTGAAAAACCACCTAAGCCGTGCGACTAAACATTTTTTCTAATGACAAGTAGTCCTCGAAAATGTATAGGTTGAGCACCCCCTTCTTAACCAACTTACGGTGACCACCAGGAGTTTTACATATATCTCGAAAAACAAGGGGTGGAAGGTACCACATTGAGATTCAGATATAACAAGATTCTTCGTTCCCGAGAATGGATGCTATTAGGTTACCCCCGTAAGACATTCCTATATAGCCAAACTATTGATCAGTTGAGATCTCGGCCTTTTAGTGAAACCAACTTATTCTGAAAGGCTGTGAATCATTGTACAGCTCTTTCATCCTTTTTAGGAATCCAAAATGTACATCTCACGGAATTTTCAGTAGTTTCGAACCCAGGACCTCCAGGCTAGTATTTTGAACATTGCCAGTTTTGAGCAACCCCCTAATTAGTAACCTCAGACAATTTCATTTGGGGCTAATTGTTCCTTTTGATTCTCCTTCTTAATGTGAATGCAAAATTAGAATACAAGAATGATAACCTATTCGAAGTTGTTTACCGGCTAGCAACGGAGCCCCACGGAGTCAGGAATCGTTATTAAATGAGTCACAACAGCCCGTAATATTTGTAACTCATGTATCAGCCTGAAGATAAAAATCTCACCATCAACAAATAACACATGACTATTACTGTGGAGCAGCGGTTCAGGCTTCGTTGTGGCCTATTCGTATCAAAAAAGCTGAACAGTAATGAATAGCAGAAATATGTTCTTGAGGTTGATTTCAAGAAGATTGTTTATCCTGAAAAAATTTTAGAATCTCACAGAAGTTATAGATGTCACCAGTTGTAGCCCAGAGCACAGTTGGTTGGAAACTACCACGCAGTCACTAAAAAAACACGGATGTTTCTGTATCATATAATTCATAGCCTTTCACGGAAGCCCAAATTAATTATCGGAACGTGAAGATGTTGTTTCCACAGGGAGAAAATATTGAACCTCTATAGGAATTGGACGCTGCCTGTTTGCTGTAGGTTTTTTTCATGAATATTGTTGCTGAGGTTCCCATTTTAGGAGCTTACTGCGCCTGAGTTTTTCTTAGATTTTGCTGCGCCTCTGAGTCTTTTTGAGCGATATTATTGATGCCTTATCTCTCTGCAAATATTGTCTCCCATTGCTTACGTGAACATCACAAAAATCCCGCATATTACGGTGGCATTGTTGAACTTCACTTGGCACACATTATCATAGACCACACGCAGTGATTTTCAATAGTGTTTCTTCAAATTTGATCCTTCACCTCATTGATAACAGCTTGCATTAAGCATGTCAACCAAACCATAAACGCAACAAAACAGCAAGCACGTTAAAACCAAGATAAAAGATTTCTGAGGTCACATATAAACTTTAAACTCAAGCTAGGTCAGGAGGACCACCCAAACTAATCAAATCTTGTAGGACAAGATAAATGAAAATCTTCTGTGAAGTAACCAAAGTCGTCTTTCACCTGTGGATCTGTTGGTCTCGTTTGAGACAAGGGTCAGCAAGCAAATTATTCAGACTTAGAGCACACAAAGCTTGACTTAGCGTGATATTAAACTAGTGTTTTCTACAAGTCCGGTGACATTTTGATAGCTGTCAAACAATATTGCCCAGTATTGTAACGTGGTAACACTATTCATAAGGTTGCCGGAAAAAACACCTCGACAGCTCCTTCTTGGCGCTCATCAGGTAGACTAAGTTACCGAGTTTCCATCAGCCTTATGTGCTACTTGAACCCAAATTGCACGAAATAAGTAAGCTTGACTCATTTACTTATGAATTTGGCTTTCACGGGAGACCCGAATGAATCTCTCGTTTATGGCGTTCCTTCTCAATTTAGGTGAGACCAGAAACTCGGGAACTGTATCTGTCTGACAGAATCAAAGAAGCGTGAAGCCAGTCTTGGGAGAATTTTCGGCAAACCTCTGACTAGTGTCTTGTGTCGGTACTGTGTATTGCGACGCTAGTGCATTGTACCAACTGAAACGTAAGGTGCTCTGATGCAGCACTTTCAGTTAAAGGAGAATAACAAACAAACGTAAACAAATTGGTGTATAAATGAGCTTACTTCACAAACCATCCAGTTTTACTTTTTTTACTTTTCAGGGGTTCCAAAAATGCATAATATTCACACTCATTCAAACTATTTGAACAGATGGTGCGTGCTTGATCAGGAAAATTATGAGCTAACAAGTTGTTGAGCGACATGATGAACAATGATGTTGCTTGATTCAAACCGTTAAAATAAAACAAATGTTGGAAAACATAAGCCAAGTCGATCGATTTCGATCTGGTGGGCCGAAGGCTGCACCTTAATGTTGTGTTTGTTCGCAGGACTTACAGGTTAGTAAAGACGTTTATGTAGACGCAAATGAAGGAGTTTGCCCGCTTCTACTGTCTGAGCCAAATTGATGACGGCATCGATGTCGTTGCAACAATCTTTAGTAGATCTCTAAACGTTTGCAATTAACTACTGGCTGTCCTAACAAAACCTATAATAGTTCAGTTTTCTGCAACTACTTTGCATTTGGCCACAAAATACATCCTTTTCAGTGGAGTTCATGAATCTGAAAGAAATATTCACCAACCACTTGAAATTATGCTATCGTCACTCTTTCGCATGATTATCTTGTGATGTTGGTTTGAGGGGATTTCCTGTTTTCAATGAAGATTTCACACCGTCAGTGAAGCCAATCAATGCTGAAAAGCAGAGAAGTACTGTACATCTGTTTCAACCGTATTGGGGATCAGCAGCAGTAGGTATCTCACAAACCACGTGACCTTCAGATCGGCGGTTGAGAAAATGACCGTTTGACCACGAGCGGCTGATTAACAACGTGATCAGTTTCATTTAGATAGGAGATAGCACCGCTTATCTGTCAGTCATGACAGCCACATCACGTGGTCGCCTATTGGGGAGATTTGTAAATCTCCTCAAATCTTCTCACTATCAGTCTATAAGTAGCTTAAATGGACAATAATTCCACAAGACGAGAAATCTTTAGTCATGAAAACAATCAGTAAGTAACCACGGGGTATATTTTCTCTAATCCAGGGATGAGCGGTGTCATGGCCGGTCTAAGTTAGATCAACTCATACTGCTGATTAACCACTTGAGGTCGAATGGTTTATTGTTCAGGTTAGGGGCTAGAAACACTGTGAGCCTCGTGGGTTGCGGAATTTTATTCGAAAGATTGTTACGTGAATGAGTCCTCGACCACGTACGTATTTTTTAACAACTGAAATATCCCGTACGGTCCTGCCACGTTAAATAAACATAGTACATACACACAATTTCATCCATTTTTCCATTCAAAATTCACCGAAGTATTTCTTCCTTGGCATATTTTGAAGCTTTTCTGTTGGCTTTACATTCCATCGTGAGAAAACTGTTCCAGGGGCTGGGCAAAAACAGATGCTTTGGTTCGATACCTTCATATCTGGTTCTCAGCATAGCAAGTAAGCGAACTTGACCAAACTCTATGAATTTCAGCGGTTCATGAAGTCAGGGAGTGACAAAGAGATTGTTTATTCTGAAGCAATACTTACGGAAAGTTTCTCCCGATTGGGACGTAGCTCAGCGCCAAACCGCTGACTAAAAATTATTGATAGAGATGCTCTTTTGATTAAAATGTGTTACCAACAAATAAGAATCACCTCGGTTAGCCGGAAGAAACAGTTTATCCTAAGCAATATGTAGCGCATATCAATATTCTATTTTAACTAGGCTGCCCACAAAAGAAAGATCCAACTTGTTATTTGTGTCGCGAGATATTGCTTGAATGTAATTTACAGTTGCATGAAACATGCATACTTCGTTCATCGGCTGCCAGACTGGTAGCCCTGTTGGGTTATCCAATAAAATAGAAAAACCGCACAACTAACACCGTTCTAAAAAGTGGGGTGGTGGGTAAGCAGGTAAGCAAGCAAGTAAGTGGGTATGTGTGTGAGTAATTATGTAAATAAGTAGGTAGGTAGGTAAGTGAATAAATGTTTTTAAATATGTAGGTAAATAAGTGAGTAGGTAATTAAGTTTGTAAATACGTAAGCAAGTAATTAAGTAGGTGAGTAAGTAAGTAAGTAAGTAATTGAGTGAGTAAGTAAGTAAGTACGTAAGTAAGTAAGTAAATAAGCGAGCAAGTTAAGTAAGAGCACGGTGTGCTTCCCACTAAAGCTTCGCATGCAAACGGACAGAGTAGGGGAGTTAAGACGAACCTGAATATGTGTGGTCTTGTGGACCAAATTACTCTATATTTTATCCAGTAATTAGCCTCAGGTTTTTTAACTCGTTTATTAGGGCCTCGTTATCAGAATGCCTTGAGGCGTCCTATAAACACGAATGACTTTGGTAACGAATTCTTCTTAGATGTTCATCCGCTGCATATGGTTAGTTCATATGCAGTTCCGTGTTTTATTATCCACGGAGGGTGTAAGTGTTACCTGGTATTTCCTGACTCGGTGCTGTTTTCAAAGAATTCAGTTCAGCAACTGATCTGGACTCTCCACTAGATATGTAACCGCTCTATTGGAACGTTCGATCGTGTTCGTTTCTCCTTTATTGGAAAGACGAACCTACGGTGCCCCTACAGTCTAAATATCGCCAAAAATATATGACACGATGTTTTGAAAAGTGCCAGCGTTGGCTTGGAGGATGATTGTCAAAGAGCAGCCAGTATTCCTCGAACTACCGCGTAAGCTCGATGTGAACGAAAGACTGCTACACCCGGAGTTCAATCTCGCTTACTGAGGAGTTCGTGCTGACGGGAGGTCAGCGCACAGACCAGTACACTGGCACGGTAAAAGCGCAACCTCTCCGTTTATTCTCATAATATGTCCCAACTAGTCCCACGCTTTAAATGGGTTTTGTCTGTGTGGAGAGCCGTGTGAATTGTACAGTTATTTCAGGAGTCATAGATTATTTTCCCTTATAGTGCATAGTCCACAAGCTTTATTCAGACAGGCTGCTCTGACAGTGATACAGCTAGCCATCCATCGGGTGTTTAACACGGCAATGGTGTTCAGTTATCGCCAAGGTTGAGGCACCAAATACACGTTTTACGATTTCCTGGTATACGCTTTGACGTAAATGTCCATAATTTTCTATAGTTTCATAATCACCGGTGAGAACAAACTAACCTATTTAACACTGTAAAACATCCAGCTTTGCTCACCCGGATAATGAGGACTAGTTTCGATGCTTGAGTAAGCGCTAAAATGGTATGAGTAGAGAGTCTGTTCGCTTAACAATTCCGGTCGCTTTTTTTAAATGGACAAATATCCAAGTTCTTCATTGCACAAATGTAAGATTAATTTCTCACGAACTCTCTACGGCTACAGAGTTGCAAAGAAGTAATCAATTGCGGGAGGACGCTGGATTCCCGAAAAGCTGTTTGATATGACATTTGAACAGATTTTCCGCTGCTTCAAGCCGACGGTCTCCAGAAGCAACTTTATTGTTCACTTGTAAGACGAATTTTTTGGGAGTGACACAAAATGTGACGGGTTACCTTTTGGGTAGAACGTTCTCCCTATTGGTGCACAACAAGATCTACTCTCACTAGTTTGTAGTGAAAAAAAACCTCGAAGTTCGCTCCTTTAAATAGGGTTCTCAACCTCAGATTGTACATCCATGAGTTGGCCTTCAGAAGGTGATTTCAAAACCGGATGTAACTATTAAAAACCCTCGTAAAATGATGGTCAACTCCCTGACAAAGTGTGCCCTCATCGGTTTTTAAAGACGTGTTTTGTTAATCCAGCGAGTGCCCAGATGAGTGGATGGGAGTCTAATTTACATGTTATTCTGAAATCATTGTAACTGTTCTTCTCCTTCAAGTTCTACGTTTACTGCTAACCTGTTTTGCTGATATGACGCAGCTTGAACTAGAATAATTTCAGTTTATCCTCATTGGCTAACATCCCGCAATGATGACTAGCATTGAATTGATCGTCCCGCGCCTTTTGCCCCCCCCCTTGATAATGTAATTTACTATTTTGAAAGTCACACCGTATTCGCTTTTGGTCCCCTTCTTTTTGTTCATGGTTTTTCCGCTACGTACCACATGGCGAAAAACATGGCTACATAATTAACTAGCTGGCCAGCCAACTTATTGTCTAACTAACTAACTGAATAAATACATAAATAAATAAACGCAGCCTAACGCTTTTGGAGGAACAGACCAACTACCAACATTAAGTTTTAGAATATATTTTGGGTAAGATTCCTTGAATAAACTACCGGGATGGCGAGGGTTTATTTGATATTCTCCAAAATATCATCCCTTTCTAAACAAGCTACTTTAAGCAAGTGTAACAATTTCCAAAAATTGCAGTACACTAATGCAGAAAAAGAATAGCAGAATCTGCAATTTTCGGTTGACACTTGAGTTTCAATCGCCATACTGCGTCTGCTCTTCTGGCAAAAGAATGCATGAGCTTTGGGTGAAAAGTAGTTTCTGCTTTTGTCTTTTTTAAGAGTAAAATAACGCTTGAGGTTGGCAAGTCGTACAGCGAAGCGGCTACTGATATGTCCGCTTGGGAAACGGCTGTCCTCCATGAGTAACCAGATAAACACACGCTATTTTTGCAGCAAACTGCTTATCCAGTTTGTGATTGTTCTCTCCAGCTTGTTCTCATCATATGTGCAAAACGTTACTGCAGTTAAGAAGAGTACAGTATTTTTATTAGTGAAAATTAAAAAAAAAGAACTTACTACCTATCTGAATTCCAATTTTGCTTGGAGAAATAGAGTTTTTTGACCTTTCCATCAGCTATAAACACAAACAGTGCTTGCTTTATACCTGGGACAAGCATTTGAAGCGGTCCAAGGGAAAGTCAAACCAGGACAATGTTTATCTTCATGATAAGGCTCCCGACTGGATCCAATAGATAGAGTTCTTCAGAACCAGGATTTAATTTGTTCCGAACATATTAGCAATCACAGTGAAGGACCCAAATAAATACCAGTCTTGTAGGTAAGAATTTGGAACTTTTCTGAGTTGTCAAATACATCTATAGACATCATTAAAGTGGGAAAACTGGGAAGGCATTGTGAGTAGAAGATCCGTCTCCTAAATCGGGATCTCAGATTTAAGTGGATGCTTGGGCTACTTCGGCAGTGCTTCAATAATTGGAGCACAACTTTGACTAGAGTGCCTGTAAAATCAAGTTCTTAAAGCAGACTTTTCGGCGGACGACTGCATTTCCGATTATGTTTTATTATTAAACAAGCCACTACTGATTTGAAGAATAGTGCTTTAATCTGGCAAGTCATTCGGGTGAGTCATTGGTCAGTTAGAATTTTTGCTCTCATAGGCTAATTTCATACACATTACGATGCTCAATCCATATAATGTAGGCTACTATTGCAGTTCACAGTTCGACCTCCGATATGTTGATATTGTTTGCAACTGCCCTGATATTAGTTGGTCTGTCATCAGCAACTGACGGTAAGATGATCATTTTTTTCCTATCAAGGATAACATTGTCGGGTATAATAGGTAACAAAACGAACTTTATTTATGAGCACACAAGTGTTCTTTGGTCTGGTTGCGCGTACTTTCTGTTATTCAAGTTAGTAGTCTGTGATGCAGCAATCTCTTCTTGAAGCACTTTGATTTTCACAAAAATGATCCTACTGATATCTGTTGAGTTCGGTTACAGAAGAAAACTCATTGGGTGAAACGACTCAAGGATTTTGCTCCCAAATTTTACCTAGCAAAGCCAAACTAGCCCCTACCTTAAAGTTAATAAACAGTAGGTGATTAGGTGGTTACTGATTTGTCCACCTAGTGCTTGCAAATGATTATTCACATCAACAGACACCACCAGGCATTGTCATCTCCGCACCTTGATGATTTCTTCTTGATTGGTGGCGAGTAGCTATCCAGTCTTGTCCAAAGCCCATAAACAAATGAAGGCTGATCTTGAGCAAGATATATAATGGCTCAGAACAGAAATATAAATACCCGGTATTCTGTTTTGAGTATGAAAGTTAAAAACAAACCAGAAGGCTCTGTTGAATTTTGTCAAGCACTCAGGACTGCTGGGAATGAACGAACTGGGAACACTGAAGTTTAAGGTTCATGGATCTGGATGCCCTGAACTTCATAAAATCCGGACTAAAGGGCTTTTCTTTCTTTATTCGTAAAACTAAATCAGATGTCCAAATAGGTATGTTTAGTTTACGGATCTTTTCAAAAATTACCTTTTCCCTTTTTTAGACAATGCGGCTGGACCAAAATGTGAGTTATTTTCGGAGATCATAATAGTGAAAACTGTAGTGTAAATGGATTGAATCACTGACTGAAAAGTGACCGCTGCCTTATTCACCACAGTGCCTTTAGTAGTTTGCTTATAGAAGAAACCATAAAAACTTGTCAAAGGGAATTGAGCACCTAACATATGAAGTAGTCAAGGCTATATCGGAGGTACGTTTATAACGACCAAATTATCAGTTTGGTTGCAAAATATACTCGAATGAGTGCTAAGTGTGACAAACCCGATTAGTCTTCACGGTGGTGTACGCTGACAAAATTTCCTCATCTATCTCGCCATTCCTACGTTGGAAAAATGTTGACAGTAGATGCACCACAGCTTTCTGTTCTTAACCCTAGTTGAGATAATTTGGAAAGCGTTTCCCACCAAACGGTTCATTGAAAAGCCAAGCAAATGGAAACTCACTCAACTAATCGTCAATTTGCCGCCTTTAGCGGAAAAGTGTTTGGTGACACTTGCTGAATTACATGTGCATATGAGAAATGCCTGGCCTTTTGAAGTTTACCGTTAATCATCATCAGCATCATTTTGATGCATAGCATCAGACTTCAGCACTTTGCTGTCGTAAAACCACAATTTACTTGAAATACTTATGCAAAAAAAGAACTGAAGTGAATGGGGAACGCTAACATACCAGAACCATTTATAGCACCTTCACCTCCAGGTACTTATTCAGGCAACAACGTGAAAGTTGATTCTTTCTTTCGGCTCCGGTGTCTGTGATTTATCGACCAGCTACCTCCCTAACCCGTTAACATTAGGACAAAGAAGAGCCTGAATCTTCGGATATTCCATTCAAATCTTTGGTGAACATTTCCTACAATACACCGTTTTTGTGATCTCTGGAACAAATGCTTACTGAAATTAGTAGGTGATACATTTACCAATAGTCTGAGTGCGTACACCAAAGCCGAGAAAGGGTTGTTCAATGAACCTGGCAGTAGTGCCGTTTCCCGATCAGGCATCTTGTTGACTACTTTTTAACGCACAGTGAGGATCACACTATTTCACTACTCGGATGTGAGTTGCACCGACAACACCAAGACATTTCGAACTATCATTCATACCTCCCTGCCAGGTCAAACAATATCAACCAGTCTGCTAGCGCCACTATGAACTGGCCCCGGAAAGCAACACTCTCTTCGGCAAACGATGTTCCACCATTCGCAATACATGGCCTACCGAACGCACATTATTGTGTTGGATACATTTTTCGATGGAAGTGCCCGTCGCATAAGCGAACAGTTGCCTTCCAGTTGCCTCTAATCGCCTGCACCAGCCCATACGAACCATGGTTGTGAGACAACGGTGGTCGAAGGCAGGAAGGCGTGCAAATTTTCTGTGTCGAAGAGGCCACGTCTCACAGTTATAAAACAAATATAATTCAGACTTTGGCCTGAAATTCCCTGGGAATTGAGGCATTTTCGAATTCGCCACCATGGGTCGCTCAACTTGGAAACTGCTACCACAGACTCAGTGATTCGTACACTGTCCCACACTACAGTTGAAACTAATACGACCTCAAAGATGTGCGAAACGCTCCAGAAATTTCATTATTTCTCTTTGGATCATAAGTGGCATGTTAAACGACTGCATGTCCAGGAGCACAACCTTGAACTTTATGGGTTCAAAGCGAATGCCAAAGGAGGAGGTGACATTGGTCTGTTCATCCAAAGATACCTTCACCTTTTGCGAAAAAGTTTGGTGACAATCGGTAGATTTATTGCTGGGCAACGTTTCGCTTTTGACCTGCACCTTCCTCTTTCCTCCGAGGATGAAAACGATGTGGTTTGCATATTCCAGATACACAGGATTTTTGTCAGTCCTTATTTAAACACCAGGATTGCGAAGAACTTCCGGCGCTTACATGACCATCTCGTGCATCACGAAATCAGAGCATTAGCGACGGGAAGTTGTTTGTGTGCAAAAGTTTTTAGAGGAATGTTTGCATACTTTCACGCTCCCCGAAGAATGAAAATACAAACTCCACAAGCTTCCGGGGAATTCCTTGCTGGACAGGCTTGTCAAGGATGACAGACCGGCCAACTGATTGGATCACACCTTGGTAATCCGGGAGTATGTAGAGTGGTGCTCTAGAACCTGAAGGAGTGTGAAGGTTTGATCAATGCATTTTTTACCGGGCCGGAATCCCAGTTGCTGCTCTCGAGTCGGTGTGTTATAAGCCTCCGTAAGAGAACGAATTGGTCGAGCAGATCCTCCTGCGATTACCTCAATAGCCATGAGCCCCTTTTTGAAAATAGTCCCTAACACCGATTCCCTCCAGTTGTCTGGGACAGTCTAGCAGGAGACGTATCAAACAGGCCCTGAATGATCACTTCACTCCATCTCCGAATAATGCGGGTGAGGTCGTTCGAAACAGCCGCAAGATGGGCGGTTCCCAAGTTCCGCGTCCAGGGTTCTACGTTAACTGTAAACTCCAGCGCGCACTTTCACTTTTACTCGGCGTCTGATAATTCGTTGGGATTGACCGGAACATTTCTCCGAGGTCCAATCAATGCCAATTTTCCACCTGATATCCAATGTTTGAGCGGGCCTAGTGAAATCGTAACACAGGCAACATTCCAGGCACTGTGAAAAGACGTGGTTATCTCGTTTCAGCCCGATTTCACATCCGACTTTGAGGCAGTTGAGAAAGACTCCAGGGGATTATTGTGATAAATTTATCTAACCTCAAGATTTTCGAGAAAAGCGGACCAGGACTAGCGCGTGTCTGGAATCCACAAATATTTCCCAAAATGAGCGTCCGTCATTTGTTGATCCGCCATAGCCTTCGGTAGCTGATGGATATGTGATCAATTTGAGTTGGTGACCGCATGTGTTGGACGACTTCGGTGATTATGGATGTTTATACAGACAGTCTGTGGTCAGAACATGGCTGAAGCACTCGTTAGCCATTGCCTACTCCGTGCCGACAACCTAATTAAGTCTGGATGCACTAAGCCTGTCCATCTGTGCATGCAAATCACCGGCACCTAACGTGGTATGTGAACTTGCGAACAGGGCACTCAAGGCATAAATCTTGTCTTTGACTGTGTCGGGGCTGCAGTTGGTAGGGGCATATGAAGAAATGACAAACAGACACCGATCAGCTTTCCGCTTGTGAAACCTACACGGATTTTGCCAGACGACCCGCAAAGAGGCCATTATCTGCGGGAATCCAGTCATACAAAGATCCTTCCTCCTTGTGACTTAGAACGACACCCGCCCCTGCACATCCCGCTTCAGCCAGAAGCGAGGAGAGATTGACGGGGCAGTTAGCTCAACCACTGTGCTTGCATTCTGAATTCTCGTTGTGATAAACAGCACATATCATTGTCAAGTAAGTATAGCGCGAAAAAGAGAGCAGGTTATTCTCCTGCTTATTTCATTATAGATGGACGTTGCGGTGCCTGAGACTCTCAATGCAGCTACTGAGACCAAAACAGACGTAAAACGCCCGGACTGTCAGTCAAAAATGATGGGCCTACTTGGAGGAAAGTAATGATGAGCAGTGGGGTGTGGACAAAGGAAGATGGGAGACGTCGGCGTTAATCTAGTTTCACTTGCCCATCCTGCTTTATGCGGCAGGTAATGCGAGCTGACTGGTGATAACACGCGACGACAGATGTGGCATTCAATGATTGACGGTTGTAGGCAACACGTTTGTACGTGGTCTGCGGTTCTGTCGGGTGCCCAGACATAGATGGGAGGATGGTTAGGACTCTTGATCAAACTCTCTGGCTCAAAATCCTGACCGCAAGGCAGGAGAGGGTGTTGGTCATCCCCTAGCTATTGAACAACCTTGCACGAAAGATGCTGTTTGTCACACGGACACCACCCATTATAGCTAATGCGTCACGGAGGCATACAAATCGCCACTCCACGGTATGGTCCAGTCTCTTTGTGTGACAATACCATTTTAAACATTGCCTCATACTGGTAAAAACCTGACTTTCTATTTGAATAAGGGTCCCATATAACGTGCCATGCAACAGGAGAAAAACTGTTTATGGCGCTTCCATTACAACTTACAAAATCGGTAAAAGCGGTAGCTCCGGTCATCTCCCAACATATTACTTGCCATTGATACAAAACACTGCACTACAGCCTAGTTAATTTCTCGTCGTATACGCTGATCATCTTCTAAATGGTGATCACTCTCAATGAGAGCTTTCTGTTCGTAATGGTCATCTATCTGTTGAGCTGTAGTCAAAAGCGAAAGGTCGTATTCAGTTTTTCAGTGCAACCTAAAGAATTTAAAAATATGCTGTTCCGTGTGTTCTTGCTTGTGGCTTTAACGGTCGTTGCAGATATCGTCCGAAAAGATCTACGTGCGTTATACTTATCAGCTTTCTTTAGACCGTAGAACCACAGCAAAGCTCGGGCACCCGAAGAACCCCGGCAACTCCAAACTAAAATACAAAATGATTTCTTTTGACAGAGTGGGTTAAACCAATTTCTATTTCGGTGCAAATCAAACCTCACAAAGTCTGGTTAAAGCGAACCTGATGCAAAGCTTAATGACCTGAAAAATGTACATGATTTTTGAGGGGTCAAGTGTGTTATTAGTTCAGTCCATGTTTGCAGTGGCGTAAGCCTGATTAACCAGGTGACATCTGTCATCAAAGTTGGCCACATATTTGACAGCCCCGTGCAAAAGACATTGTTTTCTATCAAAATTCAAATAAATCAATCTACCCATAATGAGAGAGTTGATTAAAGATATAAATCTGATAATTTCCGCTTTAACCAGACTGAGTAACTGATACTGAAATCAATTGCTTTAAGTAGTATTGTTTGAGTCACAAACGTGCTCAGTCATCTATGGTAGTATGATGTCGGACATTTCTTGTTCATTGTTGTTTTCCATTCGAAGCGTCGTTTAGCTGGCGTGTTCCGGAACCGGCGACTCCATGGTATCTATCTTAGTTAATAGCGTAGCATGTTGAGCGTTACCAAACCGTTC